TGTGGTGCTGGGGGATTGAACCACAGTCTCTGTGCTTTGCTAAGCTTGTTCTAAGTAGGTGCTTTAGGCCACTGAGCCATCTCACCAGCCCCAGGGTGGGCATTTCAAGTACAGTCCCAAACCCTCTCCTAAGCTGATTCTTGGTCTTCTTTTTTTTAATCCTTTACCCTCATATGTCCTGGCATGCCCCTCCAAGTGCTAAAGAATCATTGAGAAGTTTGCTGTGGGGTAGCATCTTGCATTTCAACCCAGGGGAGCATCTAATAGTGTTTCACACGTATTAATAAAGGCTTGTGGGTCTCTAGAATGCAGGCTTTTCCAAGTATCTGTGAAACACTCAGTTGCACACTCAAGGAGTCAAAGGTCCCCATCCCTCAGCAAGCAGAACAGGGGCCTCCAGCTGAGTCTCTCTCCTCACACAGGGCTGAATAAGAGGCTGCTGAAAGATGGAGGCAGGCAACCCAGGCCCACCTCCAAGTTCAGGGAAAGTCATCCTGCACACACCACCACTTTTCCCTATAGCCAGATGTGTTTCAGCTCCATAAACGTGAGGAGCCAGAGGTAGGTACAGCCTTGGTGTCACTCCTAGCCCACTGGGTTAACATGAAATCATAAGGCAATGCATCCCAATGTTTGAGGAGGGGGAGCTCCTAAAGATCAGAAGCTGCCAATATTTTTGATAATGAAAAAATACTGTGGGAAGCCAGGAAAAGAATAAGAGATTTCAATTCTGAGGTCACCTGAGATGGAATAGAGCACTTTTTAAGCAAAATTCAGCTGCTCTTCTGATAGCAAGCTCTGATACACTCAGGAATTCACCAGTCATTTGTTAAGAAATATTGAATTCATTATAATGAAGTTATCCAATTATACATGTGCTCGTGGGAGAAGTCATTTCAGGCTGATTTTCAATTTCTAGAACTTTGATTTTCAACAATGAACAAGGCTTTGAAAAATCTTCTTTTATGCTTTCCCGGAGCCAGTCCCAAATAGTAGACATTGTATCCTTTTTATTGAACCCATCTGCAAGTTAGTAGAATATTCTAAGGCATCTACAAGAAAATGCTCTAAGGGCCAGCCAGATAGGTCAGTGGATTAAAATGCCTGCTTAGGCAGACACAAGGACTGGGTTCAATCCCTGGCATGCCATGCTGGCTCTGCCCCCAGGGTGCGCTGAGACAGCGACTGAGACTGGGCGTGGTGGCGCGGGCCCCTAATTCTAGCGCTTGGGAGGCTGAACACAGGAGGATCACTATGAGTCTGATCTGAGTTGTGAGACCCTGTACTAAATACATTTTTTAAAAATGCTCTAAATTCTGTGTTGCTTGATTAATCACTGAACTTCGACATCTGGATCTGACTCACATAGATCTTGTACTAGCAGACATACAAGTACGGACCTGAACGTGCTCAAGGGCCCGCAGACTAAGACGGCTACCTCCAGCTATCTTGCAACTGAAGTAAGGAAGCCACCATGCTCCAAAGCTGAGGACCTCTGGCTCTCCTTCAAAGAACAGGCATTCTCTTTAGAAGGAGCAGCAAACCCCACTTACTGTATGCAAATCTGCGCTCAGCTTTCTCTTGTGTGCAAAGCCCAAAACACCCCACCACTCTGCTTCCTCTGGTGGTCTGGACGAGAACAGACCTAAGCACAATTCTGAGTCAAGCTAACCTGGATTAAACTCACGCTTCCCCCTTTCTAGAACAAAAACACTGAAAGTACACAATTTACAATTGAGAAATCAAAAAACACGGGAGAGAAGCACCTTTGGAGAAAGAGTAGTTTTCGGTATCTGTTGTCCATGGCCAGGACAGCAGAAAAAGCTCTAAGACTCTCAGGTGGTATTCTCTAGCCCAAACATCCTGCGCTGCATTTACTGTAGACGGCGATATTCTTTTTCACAAAGACCAATTAAAATTAGATTTGGAGAGTGTCATGTAAAGGAATACAAAATAGAGTTAGAAGAAAACTATTTTCTGTATGAAGCACATTAAAGGAATCAGGCTTTTGGGGACACACACCGCATCTCTACCTTCCTAAATATCCCACTTCATTTTCTTTTTTCTCCTTATGTGTTCCACCTGTTAAAGTAACCCAAAATCTTTTCCTTAAACAAAAAACATACAGAAATGAGTCTGTTGGGCTGGGGAGATAGCTCAGCAGTTTAAGAGTCTGTGTGACAAGCCCAAGGACCCAGGTTCAATCCAGTACCACATGCTGTGCCAGCCTTGGAACCCTGGGTATCCCGTGCCAGCCACCAAAACCAGGCATGGTGCTACACACCTGTCATCCCGGTACTGAGAAGGCTGATATAGGATCACTATGAGTCTGAACAACATGGGCACTCTATACCAAATAAATAAATAACTTTTTCTAAACAAAAAAAGAAACGAATCTGTTGTTAAGTGGTTTGATTTTTTAATGCACTTTTTTTAAAAAGAATGTTACATGTAGCATTAGCCAGAGTTTCAAACATACTATGGAATTTTCACACCTACCCCATTCTGTTTTTAGAACCTAATTTTTGCCTAGACTTAGTAATGAGTTGATTGGGCCTTCATTGGATCTACAAAAAGCTCTTAATTATACTCTAAACTAAGGCCTCACAAGCTCATACTCCTGGCACTCAGGACCAGACAACCCACTGTTCTGAGGGCTGCCCGGACACTGCAGGACACCTGATAGGCTGGCTGGGCTCTACTCAACAGACACACACACACACACACACACACACAAACTCTCTTAGCAGTGTTTGGAGCCAGACAAGTCTCCAGGCATTGGTGGGACATATCTCCCTCCACAGTCCATCCACCCCATTACCATGCCCGGAACATTAGGCTCTGGCATTCAGAGCATCTTTAAAACATGAAAAGGAGACATCAAAAGTAGACAATAACTTGAAATATCAAAATCTGCATTTCCCACGCATTTCAACACCTGGGGCATATTTTAATGGACTTCCTTCACTGCCTATCTAATTGCTATGCCTTCCTTTTCTCCACTTACAGTCCTGACCCACTGATGTCTGATGCAGTGGACTCCTCTTGGCCCCAGAAGAGATCACCACCCGTAGAATTCCATTTGCCTCTGCCAGTGATTGGTTGAGAGATGGGAATCATATTGCCCAGTTGCAAACAATGAGCCATAAAAGGAAAAAGAGTAGAGGGAGAAATTAGCCTTATAAAATAAA